CTTCTTGTCTTTCAAAATCAGTCTTTGAAAGAAGTCAGAGGAAACATCTATTGCTGTGATTGCATCTAGCTAGACTTAAAACAGTCTGTGGGTTATCAGGATGTTGAGAAGATTATCGGGGAGTTTTTTTTTTTCAAGTAATAGCAAATTATGTCCTATAACTAGTCAGTGGAAGACTTAGAGGGTGAAAGCATGGAGAAGGACATTTATTTCATTACGAGCAGTGTGTATGGTCTAGTGGTGAGCTGGTAACTTCTTGCTGTTCAAGTAGATATATGGCTGTTAAAATCCTCAAGTTCCTGGTCTAAAACTAGGATTTTGAGTCAGACACATCTGGTTTTGTATTCCTATATGTTCAGCTCTGCGGTGCCTATAAATGGAAAGCAGGCAGCTTTCTTAGGATGTGCAGAAGAAAAGCTAGTGGTCTGCAGCTACAGCTGCTCTACTACTCCTGTAGATGCGGGAATATGTTTCCTGCAAGGAGCAGAAATACTTGCTTTTAATTGCGGATATCGCTTTAATCAGATTTAAAAAAAATCTAGTAGCCTGTCCTCAAACCTCTTTAACAACTGGTGCAGTGTTCTTGGTGCTGAGCATCATAAATCCCCTAACTCTCCACAAAAGGTTAGTCGAAGCCAGGTCTCTCTTAAGGCACGATACCTGCTCTTACCTGCTCCTTGGAGTGCAATGAATAAATTGCAAGAAAACCACAACTCTGTTAGGGGTAGTTAACTTGCTGAAATATAGCGCAGTGCAAGGAACCGTGCTGGCTGGAATATGAATGATCCAGAAGGAGGTGCATAAGAAGCAAAGACTTTTGGATCTGTAATTTTAAAAATGTGCAGTGTTTTTTTGAGAAATACCCGATCTTAGGTTTGTATTCTGTTGTTTGTGTACTTAGTGAATGATGGTCCTCATTCAGTTGATTGTGCCACAAAACATCAGACTATCATAAAGCAGTCAGAAGTGTGATACCAAGTAAGATTCATAGTAAATTCCAAAAGTCACGTAATTTTCAAGCTGAATTGTAGATTATTTTTACAGTATTTTTTTTTGCATATTTTTGCTTACAGGTTTTTGGTGCACTAGCATCCGAGCCTTTTAAAGTGAGCGATGGCTTTTATGGCACTGGGGAGACATTTCTCTTCACATTCTCTCCAGACTTTGAGGTAAGGAGGTAATGTGGAGGGAGGATTTTTTTTTCTTTTACCTCTATATGTAATATTGTGCTTGCTATATAGAATTTTTTAAATACTTAAGTCTAAGACTTGTCCCCAGAAGTATGTGATCATGCTAGTTACTTACAGTATAAGTGCACAATAAACTGGCAGGGTTTGCATACTGAAAAGCTCAAGTACAGTGAAAATCAGGCAGAATAAGTTTCCCCCTGCCCCGTACATATATACTCTCCCTTCCTCTACTACTGTAAATTTTGCTCAATTTCCATGTTAAGAAAAGTCTAACAAAATATATCTTTACGGAAGCCAAAAGTTCCGATATTTTAACTTGCTAGTCTGTTTTACACTAGGTTTTCAAGTGGACAGGAGACAATATGTTCTTCATCAAAGGTGACATGGACTCCCTTGCTTTTGGCGGAGGAGGGTAAGTCGTAATTTTTGTTCTTTATTATGGGGACTCTCTTACAAGCGACTGCCTGTGTGGATGTATATACGCACCCACCTTAAAAAGAAAATTTTGAATTGACCTTTTCAAATTCAAATTTCAAATTCACCGTCTCAGGGCTCAGTAGCTGTAGGCCAAGAAGGAAAAGGCTTAGTATTAGGAGGAGTTAGTATCATGCAAGATGGTTTTTATCTCCAGCAGAGTGTCGTATCCAGTTTCAGCATTGAAAGATCCTGACACCTTGCGTGCTCTACGTGCATGTTTGTCTTGGCACATCCAGAATGAAGTTAGGTTACTTTTTCATTTCAGAATATCTGATAACTATTTCTAAATGAGGGAAAAAAAAACATAACTCTTTACAGTTTTGAATTCATCAAGAGTTATGAAGTACTTGTACTGAAAAAGAATTCTATTATTTTTTTCCATCCTTCTAGAACTTTCTGAATGAAAAACACATTCATCAGTTTAATTTCCTCTATCTTTTGCTTTAATGCATTGTCTTGCAGAGGGGAGTTTGCTCTGTGGCTCGACGGCGATCTCTACCATGGCAGAAGTCACTCATGTAAAACGTTTGGAAATCATACGCTTTCAAAGCGAGAAGACTTCATTATTCAAGACATAGAAATTTGGGCTTTTGAATAAGTATATAACTTTTTCTGCAGGGTATTGTCCCAAACCTGACACGAATCAGTGCAGCACATCCTGAGGAGCAATATAACATGTTATTCTACACTTTTTTTTTAATTTGCTTTCGTTTTTTTTTTTTTTTTTTTTTGTGTGTGGCCATCTAATTAAAATTGTGAAATAGCAGACTTCTTATTTTCTCACACCTGTAAAATATGGTCCTACTTTTTCTAAAGCTGTAGGCACTTTTAAGAAGCATAAACCTCATGGACTAAAAGTGAGCATAAGTTGCTTTGAACCTCACAGTCGACACAATTTCTCACCCTCTCTACAGCTGCCTCCTAAGTTGCCCACACACCTTTCTTCAGTGCTGCCAGGGGGCTGTTTCATTGAATAAAGGCTATTATTTTTGTATTCAAATTATATCTATGAATGAAGCTGCCCTCTATGAACCTACGTAAGAAGAAAGCTGTGTGTGGGTGTTGCAGAGCTTGGTCTGGACCAGTGATGGATAAATTCATACGGTGCCACAACAAGATAAGAAGCCTAGCATTCCTCCTTAATACATACCAGTATGCATATGGTCAAGGTAGAAGATATATCCAAAGTCAACAGTGCCACTCGTCTTGTTTATTGTTGTTTATGTTTAGAAAAAAGTCAGTTAAACAATACAGTAAGTGCTCTAACTGCATGCTGGTTAGGTTAAAGAGTGTTTTGCACATGCTGTTAGTGATCTGCAGGTTTGGGACAAATGCTGAAAATATTGAGCTGTGTGGCAAGGACTTAAAAAATACCAAGGGAATGTAAGAATGTGACAGTTCCACAAATTTCAAAGGCTAAAGCAAGTAAAACTCGAACAATTTGTAGCTATAGTAGGGCATTAAAAGTACAAAGATTATGAAACAGATGCATCTTTCTTCAACATAAAGTGTCAGATATATACTGTTATACTGTTGTAGCTGTGTAGCACATCAATTCCAAGAATATAGCTTATTCCTGTCCAAAGAAAAATAGTTGTGCTGTTTTTGAGTGGATCTATGTTGTAAATTTACAGTTAGCACCAGCTCTGATTAAAATGAGATAATGTACTATAGGTAGACAATATTGTAATTCCGTAGACTTGTGGAATATGCAAACTTACTGTCATGTGCCCTCAAGACAACGACAGGCTAGAATACCGTTCCAGTAGCTCTTGTCCACTTTCGTAGGAAATCGATAAGCCTTTGTGGCAATAACAGCTCAACAAAACTGTTTGTTTCAAAGCTTCTATTCTATGTTCTGCAAAAAGAAAAAGAAAAAAAAATGCTGTTAAGTGTGACAGTGACTGACTTTGTGCTGAAATTTCAGCTATTTCGGATGAACATTGTATATTATCTTGTAAATTAATGTTTAAATTAGTTTTGTTATTATAGAAAAGTGTTGATTGACGGGTTGCTAATAGCACTTTAAATTATTCTAGAAATGGAATAAAAGCCAAATGGCTTGGCTTAAGTAGATGTAGTTGTATATTTCAAAATATTTCGATCTGGGAAAAGTTTTAAAAACTTACTTGAAGAAGGCGTACTGCTATGTTAAAGAAAAAGGGCAAATGTTTCATCATATATGCTAATGCTCAACATGAATAGAAATACAGGGCTCCGTTTCCTGTCTCTATGTATAGCTCTTTACCCTTATTAGAACTTAGGATAATGTGTAGACTAAATGTTTACAAAATAAGGAACTGTAAATAAAAATGGCTCTTCTCCCCTTTGGTCTTCCACAGCAGTATTATTGTCTTTGTGGAGTTAAGACTGATTATTACAAAAAGAAAATCCTGTAATGGATTTTGAGTACTATAAGGTCATAGTGATGTATAGCAAATAAATCTAAGTATATGTAAACAGAAACTGGAGTTGGAGTTTATTTAGAAGAACAAGTATAGATTATTGATGATACTAAAATAAGCTTAATGAATATATATTCTTGATGGGTGATAGGTACTTAAAAAGCTGGAAATTATCCTGAAGAGAAAAGGAAAGAAAGGAGAACAAAAAAAGTGCAAGGGGCCTGGCCCTGTTTAACTGGATTTATGTGCTTGTTTTGATTGCTTTCCCCTCCTAATAACATCAAAAGATAAATAACTC